TTATGAGTCCCAAAGAAAAACTCATAATCATCCGTTGCCAAATTCCCTTCTTACCATAATTTCATCTTGATATCAAGTTTGTTAATTCTGAATTTTTTTGGATTGTAGTTGGAATTTCCTAATTCTGATCTAATCCGTCTGTATCACTGATTCTAATACGATCCGTCCTAAGTATCAACAATTGAAAATCAAGCCTACCACTAATTGATACAGCTGAGATTGTAAATGATATGTCAAAGCAAGTCCGAAGTATGTCAATCGCCAGGCGCAACCTTATCAAAAATTGAACCATTTATACTATGAAAAGCACATAAGAGGGGGGGAGGGGGGTTTATATGTGTTATAGACGTGGTTCACGAAAGTAACACATGCATAATTATTAAAACTAAACTTTAATCTCAAAACATATTATGAAGCATCAAAATAGCAATAGTCCTTAAATTATAACCCGATTTGTACTTCGTTCTTGAGTTCTAATATTAAATCTTGTGGACCTGAAATTTAATTTTGCCATTGAGATTTTATATGAAACCACAAAGTGAGTATGACACATGTCCATTCATCAAGTGCCACCTCAACGGACATGGAGAAACTTTATCAACAACAAATGATCTCACTGCATAGACTAGAACTACCAATACACACCAATCTTCGTTTTGTAAATCCCCCTTGTCAAACAAATTATGGTAAATATTCAGTTATGCTAAGATACGCTCATATTATTATTCTTCTCCAATATAAAGGTATTTATATAAGTACAAAGATGTGTTAATCCTAAATAAAATAGGAAATATATCTAAATTACAATAAGAAGTAAATCTCTATTACAATAGGACTAAATAATAATTGGTAAGTAACCAAAAATCTAATGAAATAAGGAATCAAAATCCTAACTAAGTAAGGACTCGCCAACACCCCTTCTCTATGCGACCTTTAAAAATCGGAAACTTGTGGAATAAAAAATAGAAAGTAAAGAAACCATTATTGTTTTGACCCCAATAAAAAACCTTAGATAATCTCTCCAAGATTCCTATTCCATCATCTACGTCTCCAAATTCACACTACTAGAAATATGGCCACTACACACTGATTTTCTAGGTACAATTTCATAAAAGTGTCTTGTGAATTTTGTTTGGAAACTAATTCCAAAACCATGCCTAGTAAAGATATTTGGGATAGTCAATGGTGTGTAATACAAAACGTTGATTTTCATGATTTTCCTTTAATATTTGATCCTTTTTATCAGTCCCAACTTGTCATTATCAGTCCCAATTTATCAAAGGAAGCTGCAGCTCATTTGACTCAACTCACAAATCACACAAAGAGACGTGGCTGGCACAAACTGGCTTGGGCTCCCCTTCACTCAGTTTTGGCATTTGTCCTTAAATTGGATACTGATTGTAAATGCTAGTTTCTTCCATTTAATGATATATTGAATGGTTTGAATGACAAACTGTAGCAAAAGTAATATTTATATTGGCATTCATTAATGATTAGTCTCTACTTGTACAACTAGTAGTGTTATGGTAAATGTTCTATTTGTTTTTTATTTGAGGGTTGATAGTTAATGGTGTGGTATACCCACAGTTAACCATCAAATAGAAATAAAGAGGGCCATAGCCGTCCAATATAATCATCAATTTTATTTTATTAACTTAATTTCCCGCTGGTTTGCTTTGGTCAACTTTCCCGCTGGTTTAAAGAATTCAAAATACGAAAGTTCAAATAGGTGGGAGAATGCCACTATAAAACAGAGAACCTTTGTATTCATATGAACAGAGAAGAACGAAACCACTTCCAACCAACTCACCCTCAAACCCAAACATAGCAAATCAAAATGAGTGACTTCTTGAGGGAGCTTACTGAGGGAGCTTACTTGAGGGACCTTTGTATTCATATAATCAGCAAGCTACTGTGGTCATGGAGATGAGCTCCGCAATGCAGGCTGCTGGCTTCTCAGATTTAGCAGCAGCATTGGAAGCCCTTCGATATGTGGGAAATGGAAATGGATCTGTTAATGCTTTGCCTCACCTGGAAATCTAAATGGAGGTTGGAATACTGTTTCATCTCTAAACTGTGCATGTTTTGTGGGTTAGCAATGGGGAAAATGTGGGAAATCTGCTATGAGAAGTTTGGCACCTTATTATAATAAACATGGGATGTGCTTCATGATGGGGAGTTAGGACAACCTTTTGAATATAAGTTGCAGTGGCCAAGTGTGTACAAAAATGATAGTACAAAACATGCATCTGCTATGTAAAGATTTTTGGATCATATCGATATGAAGCATGAGCTGTGTAAAGTTGTTTGGATAATATGAAATATTGGGTTGCTGTGTTCAGTTTTCATTCAAGGCAAATACATAACATTGATGAATTAAATGAAGTCAATAGAATAATATGCAAAACAGCCCCCAAATCGTATTCGAATATGTGCAGATTTTTAAAACAAAATACACATTCTTATCAATATTAAAAGTAATATATAAATGGGGACTGATGGCTGTAAGTGTATTACATAAATGATAGGGTGTTATTAAATGGGTACTCATACAATGGGAACTGATATTGAACCAACGGGAACTGTTGTATATTTGCATTTCTAAGGGAGAAGATACTAAAACTAAGATCTGTCTTGTTTGAAGAGTACACAATTGCAAACTGATATGTTTTTTTTTTAATAGAAACTCAATTGCAAACTGATATGTTATATATGATTAGTCTCTAATATAATAGACACCATTCCAAATATCAGAGCCCAAGCTTGGAGCCATCGAAAATGGCTTGGCTTAACTCAAATGGCTTGTTTCTTAAAAGCTTTTTCTTTAATGGAAAATAGGGAAGGACTGACTAAGTAAATGGTACCCAAAAAACAATAGCAACCCCAAACTAGGATACTGATTTAAAAATAGTGGCTGCATAGTCTCTATTGGTTAATGGAGACAATTTATTGTCTCAAAACTTAACTTAGGGGACAAATTTGAATCAGTACATAGTGTGTGTTTTTTTAGTAGTGTCACATCAATCACGCAATTCCCCTATATGAAAATCGACGGGAAATAACAATAATTTCAGTCTAACCTAGTCGTTCCCACCATTCCCTTCTCTACTGTCACCGACAACTGCTTTGAAAAGAAATCATGGTTGAAAAAATCTTGCTTTAAAAAATAAGAGAAATTGCAGATTATTAAAATGACTTATTTATTGATTTGTTTATGAGCTTTATCGAAAATCTCTGTTTACTCCATGACTTTGCAATTGAGTCACGTTGCCCATTCCATCAATTGAGTCACGTTGCCCATTCCATCAATTCAATCATTAACACAATTAATTGGCTGATTTGGCATAAATATTTTAGTAATTCCAACTATTTAAATATTTGAAATCTAAATTAAATATAAAATTAAAAATAAAACATTTGAGTGAGATTTATAAATTCGTTAAAAATCAATACATGAACCCCAGTTTTTTAATGACGTGGACTCCATGTGGACAAAATAAATAATAAAAAATTATTCAATTAAAAATATTAAAAAAGAAAAAGAAAAAGAAAAAGAAAAAGAAAATTGCAAACCCTGTAAATTCTCCTAATTAAGCTCAAATATAACTGAGCATAACTTCTCTTTTTTAAATTAATTTTTTCGTACATCCAGTCCCACCTTATTTTTCTATAAATAAAACCTAATTTTTTTAGTTAAAAGCCCGTAACTAGAATACAACTCATTAACTTACCTAATTAAACTCAAATTTTGATTTATTGCACCTTTTGGATTCCAAAACCACCCCTAATTACGTTGAATTTAGAAAGATTATGTACATTTCTCTCCATGAAATCTGGTTGTAACTGAAGTAGGTATTAATTTGGAAAGGTTTTCAATTTCAACATTAAATTTCATATTCCAAAGTGCCCTACTAACCTTTTATGAATAATACCATGGTATTCTTTGATTTTTTTTTTTTTTTTTGTGTTCAAAAATGCGGAATTTATTGAATTGAGGAATCAAAGTTTATATCTCTTGCTAAAACATTGGAGAGCCATACTGGGCAGAAAGAATCCCAACTACATGTACCCCCAACTCTAGAAAAATACGCGTGTTGCTTTGTTGCATATTCGTGGAGCATATCTAAAGTCTACCCGCTGAAATTGAGGAGCCAAGACCTGAATATCAAAGAGGATGCCTTCGATGTCTGCAACTCCCGTACACTTACGCAGCAACCTCATGTGCTTCTTTGATTGTTTGAGCATATCTTGTTATCTTGAAAATATAATATACCTAATATTTAAATTTTTATGAATAAAAAAATTACTTATTATCTTATGTGTAAAAGAATATACCTATTATTTTTAATGAACCATATAACTATTAATTTTATGTATAAAATAATAAAATAATAGGTATACTTTTTAAATTTTTTTTAAATAATAATGTACCTATTATGTGACTGATTTAAATATAAAATTTAGTTATTTTCCTTTTCTTTTATAAATGATAATATACCTATTAATTATTTCAATGTACCTATTATGTGCGTACTTATTATTATTTTTTTTCTATGAACAGTATACCTCTTATTAATCTTATATATTATACATATTTGATAGCGACTCCCAGTCACATTGTACCTAGCCTGCAAATCCCCCTTCTCTATGCGACCTTTGGAATCAGAAACCTGTGGAATAAAAAATAGAAAGTAAAGAAACCATTATTGTTTTGGCCCAAAAAAAAAAATCTTAGATAATCTCTCCAAGATTCCTATTCCATGTACAACTAGGAGATTAGAGAAACTGATTCTCTATAAATAGGAGTTCAATGAGAAACTGATTCTCAAATCTCTCAAATATTTCTTCCTATTGATATTAATAATCAAATGGAAGAAGCTGCTAAGCGCCTCCTCTCCAAAAAGAGAGAGGAGTTTCCCGAATGTTGTAGACTTCGCAACGTCTGCCCCATCCTCTTACTGGTGAGCGTTTTCTCGTGTATGTCGATACTTTTCTACTTAATGGCGTTGCAGCACCGCTTGCTAGACGTTAGGTCCCCGGAGTTCCGGCTTGACTCGGTAGTTGTGTCCCCGTGCCCACTCACCCCGAGTCTTGCTGTTGCTACTGCTGCTGGTGGCTCCTCCAACAACAACTGGTACTTAACCGCCACATGGGACCTGAGCCTGGTGTTTATTAACCCTAACCACATATTGGGTGTGTCTTACAACAACTTCCGGGCGGGACTCTTGTACGGGGACGAGGAGAAGAACGACAAACTCATTCTCGCAATGACGCCATTGCCTCTTCCACCTTTAACCAAGATGAGCCAGACCACCATCAACTTCAGCCTGGCAATGGTGAGGTCATATGTGGGCGAGGACATGGCAAATGAATTACTAATGGGAGGCGGCAACGGCGGTTGTTATGGGGCGGCGAGATTAGGGGTGAAGCTATTTGGTGAGCTTATGTTTATGGTGCCGCCGCAAGGCAGTTTTAGTAGAGATCTTTGGAGCCAACAACCTGTCAGAACTACGCGAAAACTCTGCAGCCTTTTCCCCCCGCATTATAACGGCACAGGTCAAGGAGGGGAATGCGAAAGTTTCCCTTCACAAACTCCGTGTAGATGTTGACGTTAAACACCTAATTAATTAATTGTTCAGTTGTTCATGTTTTTGGAGTTAGTTAATTTGAGGCACTCTGTTTATGGATTTTTCTAAATTAATATGATGATTTATTTTGATCTATCTTGTAGCTACTCTGATTGATTATTGGCTCTTAATTTTGTTGTCAAAGTTAAGTTCCCATGGAGTTGATTAACCATGAAGGTGTACTGGTTTGTGTCTTGTAAAGAAGCAAATTCATGTAGTTAATGAACTCGTCTATTGTTGTTTTTTCTCTCCATACCACTACTAAATTGCTCATGAGTGCAAATTCATGTACGGTTTGTGTTTGAATTTGAAGATATGATTTGAGGACGCATTGTTAGATGGATGAGCAACGATTTGGGCTGGGAAACGTTCGCGCTTGTAACAACAAATTGGTGTGTGTGGTTTATTTCATTTATGTGTCATATTGTCATTGTGTTTATTTCTCTTAATTATAATATAATAAAATGCTAATTAATTATAGTGGATGCGGGCTTTAAAAGGTCAAAGCAGGTTTGTGCTAAAGGCATTGACTCAACCACACACAAGCAATGGAAGCATGAGAAGAAGTGTGGCCGTCCACTTGGCCTGAGATTTGACAAAGAGAGTGGAGATTTTTACATTGCTGATGCCTATTATGGTCTTTTGGTTGTTGGCCCTCAAGGAGGCCTTGCCACTCCTCTGTCAACCCAAGTGGAAGGGAAGCCTATTCTTTTTGCATATGACCTTGATATCCACAAGAATGGCTCAATCTTCTTCACTGATACCAGCAAGAGATACAACAGAGTGTAAGTATATATAAAAACTACATATATTTGGGGCAGACGTGGGTAGGCCGGTTGGTTAGGATAGTAAACCCGTCCTTTACACCCAATTTTGAATTCCCCTCCCAATAGACTTGTATTAAAAAATACATATATATTTGATTTACTGATCCTAATTAATTAGTGGAAATTAATCAAATTGCAGGAACCATTTCTTTATACTATTGGAAGGAGAATCCACTGGCAGGCTTCTGAGATATGATCCTCCCACCCAAACAACTCATATTGTCTTGGAAGGTTTGGCTTTTCCAAATGGGTTGCAGCTTTCTAAGGACCAAACCTTCCTTCTCTTTACTGAGACCACCAACTGCAGGTAATAATAATAAAACCTGAGGCCTTGGATTTTTTCGTGGAGGACAAAGCTAGGAATCTTAAGTTATCAAAATCAGCTTGAACATGTCCCAAGTTTAATTTCTATATTCAACTAGTCTTGTAAAAGTTAAGGAATTCCTGCCAAACTCAAAGCAAAATCCTTACAAGAAAAATACCTTGTGACAAAATGTCTTTGACCACCATATCGGTTTCAACTCAATATATATCTTGTAACAACACACTTTTTTTTTAATAGTCGAAAAGGGCTTTTTTCTTGTAGTGAATAATAATTATATATATATATATATATATGTGTGTGTGTAAGATGCCCCATTTATGAAAATCAGCTTGAGTATATATTCCAATTTGAGCTAGTACCTTGGGTACAATTTAATTCCAACCAATATTTCTACTGGTTGATTGAATTTTTGCAGGCTAATGAAATATTGGCTAGAGGGTCCTAAAAATGGGACAGTCGAACTTGTTGCTGACCTTCCAGGTTTTCCAGACAACATAAGAATAAATGAGAAAGGCCAATTCTGGGTTGCCATAGATTGTTGCAGGACCCCAGCACAAGAAGTCCTCTCTCACAATCCATGGATACGAAGTGTCTACTTTCGCTTGCCGATCCGAATGACCTACTTAGCGCGATTTATGGGGATGAAGATGTACACATTGATCTCCCTCTTCAATGAGAAGGGGGAAATTTTGGAAGTTCTCGAGGATCAAAAGGGTGCCGTTATGAAACTTGTGAGTGAAGTTAGGGAAGCAAAGGGCAAGCTGTGGATTGGAACTGTGGCTCATAACCACATTGCCACCATTCCTTACCCTTAAGAATCATTTGGGTCTGTAGATGAATATCTTTGTTGTTCATACAAGCCTTTTAGCAACAGTATCTTAAATGGGTGGCTTGATTTATGATTTGTGTAACAGTATTGATAATTAGATGATTTGAGGTTTGTGGCTTTTTATTATTATTATATTTAATGTTATAAAGGGTACAAATTAGATTATAACTAATTATGTCGTGTGATTGGAAATCATGATATAAAGGGTACAAATTAGATTATAACTCAATAATCAAAATATACATGGAAAGAGACATTGGAGTATTGGATAGGATTGCATTCATATTTGGAGCTTTTTATTTATTTAGTTTTTCTATTTAAACCTCACACTTTTCTTTGTTTATCCCAATACTTAAATCATTAAGCTCTTAAGTTTTATTATTGTGTAAAAAGACAAAAAAGGTCATCCAACTTAATACTTAACCCTACTACATCTATACACACACCCCACACACCCGACCACTCTTCATATTAAGTTTTAGAAAAACACAAACTCCTTTACACCCTATTGCTAGATTATTCTTCTTTTTCAATCCAAGAAACCTACTACACTCTCATCTTCTCTTCACAAACCCTAAATACTGTATGCAAATAATGGCTTGTAGGTCATCAATTGAGGTATATAATATGAGATTATTTCTTGGTTTGGAATTCCTCCCATAATTATTGAAGATGTTGTGATCAAAGACTTATTGTAATTCTGTTTGTTATCAATACATGTTTCTCTTTAAAAAAAAAAAAAAAGGCAAAACATTGCATATGACATCATTGACTAATATTATATTGTTTGATCGTAATATGTTTTTATGAATAGTTGATGAGATGCATATGTCATAATATTATATTCAATCATTGACTAATATATTTATATTGAATTGTTGAGATGTATTGCTTAATTGGAGTCGTGATTGGGTGTTCGGTGTGGGGTATGAGGTTGATGAGTTTTTTTATTTTTTATTTTTTTGTTGGGTGTGTATTTAGAGGTAGTTTGGGAAGATAGTGGGTTTTTCTTAAAAATTGTGAAAATTTGATTTAGAAGTTGGGATGAACTTAGAATAATTGGTGAATAAAGAGAAGTGCAGAGTTTAAATAGAAAAATCATTTATTTTTTTGGCTTTCACTATACACTAAACACTGAAAAATAAATATTTTCATATATGTGTTTACCTTTGCAAGTGACTCACATCCATCGATGCATTGTGAGTAGAGCTGGGCATAGAGGACTAAAAATCGGCCAAACCGGTTGGACCAAAAACTTGCCAAATAGGTTGAATCGAACTAGTTGGTCCGATTTGGCTTGGTTTTTTTTTTTGTGCACAGTGCATGAATCGGACCAAACTGGTGTTCATGGTTTAGCGCTCAATTCCTGATTTTAAAAACCTCCAGTTAATTTTACCGAACTGGATACATTAAATCATATTTAATTTAATAATTAATTTATACGTGGCTTATTTCTATTGGTTTGTTTTAATGTTATGTACACCTTTGCACAACATATCCTAGCCCTTAGTCATGCAACTTAATCTAGATTGAGTATGGTTCGGTACAGCATATCCAAACCTTAGAATATGGTTCGGCGTACGATATTTTAGAGCCAAAACCAAACTAAATCAAACTGAGCCTAGACCTAATTGTGAGATTCCGCAGGACCGCATGCAGAAGCATTCCTATTAACAAAATACATGGGCAGATAACAAAATTTTAAAAGTTGGTAAGGATATTTCGATTAAATTTGTTTGGATTTCCTTAAAAGCTAGCAAAAGGGTATTTTCTCCAAGGGAACTCACACAATTATATAATGTGTAGTTAGAACCTAGAAGCCAGGTCATGGGATTAGGATATGCTTTTGTTAAACAACCTCCATCTCCGTGTAATAGTTATTGCGAAAGTGGATGAACCAACCAATTTTGCTTTGTTAATGTAGGCCAGCATGTCAGCTTCTTTAAGGCACCGAAAAGCCTTTACCAATCATTTTCACAATAAAAAAAGTAAGAGAAAAAAAAAATTATATATTAACAAGACTGATCTGATTGCCTTTTGCTTTCTTTGAACAAGACAAAGCCTGCCATAGAAGATCTCGAACAACAGAAACTAAAGTTAAATTCAGACCAAAAAATAAAAAAATACTAGCATATACACTTTTTTGTTTTAAATAAAAATTTTGTTTGTCAGATTATTATGCTCATAAGAAAGGAATTTAGCATCTATGCGTAACTTTCAAAAATCTAGAGAAAAAAAAAAAAGAAACACAAGAAAACAATAGAAGAAACAACTCACGTCACTTGGAACAACTCCAAGGGGAGAAGTTCTTGTATGGGGGTCCGCCTGCGATATGCGGCAACTCCTGACAGTAGGTGGGATTCACATGTAAGTGCCGCTTGTCAAGGACAAAAACTTCCATGTGTGGCTGGATGTCAGGTTGATGAGAAAAACTTACTTATATCAGGGATACCAAACTAATCGCATATTGATATGTGATTGATTTGAGATACCGTCAATTGGCATCCCAAGTCCCAGTGAGATACAAGAGTAGCTCTCTTTTTCTTTTTCTGTTTTTTTTCTTCTTTTTTTATGATTAAATAGAAACTTCATTAGATAAATTTCAACGATACAATCAAAGACATTAACAAGACATCTAAAATACCAATCCTAAAAGGGCAACAAACTAACATGCTACAGGCAAAACTAACACGGACAAAAGCTTCAATAAAACTACTAGTCCACATTACCACAATTAACCATAAGCTCAAACAAAGCTCACAACTCATGAGCCTAGATGAACCCTATCACCATCACCTGAAGTACGATTTAAATTTGGGTTGAAAAATAACTTTGCCATAAATACATAATAATACTTACTTTTTTATTTTATATTTTATACAAGTGATAGTTGAAACTACTCTAAATTAATTTATATTACACGAAGGAAAAATCAAACATAAGTGATATGAACAACTAGCCTAACTCACGTTGTAAATATCATTTACCATTAGAAGTGAAAAACATAGTCACTTTATGCTTTTTATTATTAAAAAACGGTCCAAATTGTGACCAAAAGCAAAAGCCACTAATGGAGCCGTCGCATTAGAGGATGCTTTTGCTCTATAGTTGTCAAAATATGACTAAAAGCTTTAATTTAAAGTTTTGTACAAAACAAAGTGGCAAGAAAGTCAAAAAGAAATATTTGAGGGATGATAGTTGAAACTACTCTAAATTAATTTATATTACACGAAGGAAAAATCAAACATAAGTGATATGAACAACTAGCCTAACTCACGTTTGTAAATATCATTTACCATTAGAAGTGAAAAACATAGTCACTTTATGCTTTTTATTATTAAAAAACGGTCCAAATTGTGACTTATTTATTTTTTTTTGTGCATCAACTGTTTTCACTAGTGGATAAATTAAAAAAATTCCACATAGTTTAATTGTATTTTTGTTACATTAGAACGGATAGAATCCTTACTCATTCCCGTATTCTAACCAAAAATATTTTTATAGAGATTCAATTGTAACCCAAAAAAAAAAGTGTATGGAGACTATAAATACTTTGCAAAAATATGTAGGTAGACAGTTAGGTTGCCAAAACGACTATTAGGTATGACAGTCAGTAATACTTTATATGTGTGTATTTGGGTATTTATATATCCTTCTTTTTTTCAAAAAAAATTTTTGGGGAAAAAAAGAACGGAAAAGTTGGGCATTATTATTAAATTATAGTACTTTTTAAGTTTTAAAATCATCCGAGTGCACGATGTGAATGATCGAAATGTGAAGACCAAAAGTAACTTTGGTCCTTGTTGATTTTATCACTTTAGTTCCTGTAGTTTTAATTTTATAAATTTTATTATTGTAGTTTTCAATTAAGAAATATACAGATACTTTTCAATTTCTGTCAAATTCCTTTAATTTTCTTTTTATTGTACTACTAAAGAATATATGAAAAATTATAATTTATTTGAAATTACACCCATATATAATACACAAATTTACTAAATAGGATTTCAAGTTTTGATATCATATAGAAACACAAGGGACTTGTAGCTTAATAGCATTTACCCTTAGCACTGAGATCTTAGGTTTGATTTTTCCATACCCAATATCGCTTGTATAAAAAAAAACATTAAAAGAGAAATATAAAAAAGTTTGTCAATAAAGAATAAGAAATAGCAGTTTTATAATAATTTGTTTGATTTATTTTGTAATTATTGCACAAGGAACCAAAATCCAATTTAACAGACATTTTTTCCATATTAATGCCCGAGAAAGAGAAAAGACAAAGCCTGGGGGGATTTGACGCCTCTGCCTCCCCCTTGGCTATATTCTAAGGTAAATTCACCAATTTGTTTTTTCCAATTAATAATTCCAATTATTTTTCACGTCAATGTTCTGGAAATAAATTGATATTACAATTAAATTTGAAACGTTGTTTTTGTCAACTTTTGGCGTCCTCGGTACTCTAGATCGCGATCGCAAGCCATTAATTGTGCCAAAAAGTGGAATTATCTGCGTTTAGAATTGGTATGTATCGGTTTGTCTTTGGGAATTTGGCTTCAATTTGTTGGAGTTACTATTTTTTTCTGAATTCTGAACTATCTCGAGCCTTCAATTTGTCGGTCGTTTTAATTCTTAAGACGTTCAAAACGCATTTGGGAACTTACAAACGTCTCCAATGCTGCTAAGCTTAACTGGGTTTTGAGCTTTTGCTTTGGACTTTATTGACAAGACTATGAGAACACATTGGTTTGAAAGTTCTGATGAATTTTAGATGTATTTGATCATACGGGTTGTTGAGTTTTCCGCAAAATTGTATATATGAAGTTTTGATTTTGAGTTTGATTTTTTTTGGTGTAGAGAGGGGGTTTGAATTTATTTTCGTTAAACAATGGGGGTTATGTCGAGGCGGATTGTGCCCGCCT